AGGAATAGATACCTAAGAATAGCCTTGTATTCTTTATATTTAATAAACGACTCTTTGACTATAAACTGTTTAGATATCCCCCCTCTAGGGTAATTCCTACAGGCAAGGTTTATCTCCCTCTTGTGTTAATAAGTTATTATTGTTATTGTATTTTCCCACAAACTGCCTTAGAGAAGGGTATAGTTTCTTAAAAAGAAAAGAAGCTATACTTACCTCTTGGACACCACATATACCTACGAAAGGATTCCCTGTGCCGTGTCGTCGTTATAGAGTAAATTAAGAAGGCTTTACTCTGTAACACTATATAACTTATACTGTATTTATTTGGCTAGGGATGAGTTAATCGGTCCTTTGGGATCAAGCCCTAACAATGTCCTAACCGATCCTGGCGGATCCTTTCGGTCCTTAAGTCACATGAAAACATAATACATTCACATAGGATTTAGACTCTGAATCGATTAAATTGATTGGTTGAGTTTATTCGGAGGACCCAATTCAGGATCTAAATGTATTATGTTTTCATGTGATTTAAAGATTTGAGTCCAAGACGATCCTAGAAGGTTCTAGGACCAAATCGGACTCATAATTTAACATCCCTATATTTGGCTTAGATTTTTATAATTATTACAAAAACTTGCAAAAACAATTCATGCACAACGAATTTTAATACTGAGGGTGAGTCAGTAGAAACACAACAAAAAATTTAGTAAAAATTTTTTTAAATGATTTCTATAAATTAAAATTATTTTAAAAAATTTTTTTATTAAATTTGATTAATTTATCGTTAAGTTATTTTTGTTCAAAGTTTTAAAGAAGTTTATTTGGAAAAAATTTGGCGTTTCTACTGACTCGCCTCCATGAGTCCCCCAGGGCGGCCATCAATTTTGCAGGCTGCATTAACTTAATTTAGGCTAATGATCTTCAAATTTATAATTTGGCCGAAGATTATTTTTTTGAAATTTTTGAGCTTTTTGAATTCAAAAAGCAAAAATTGGTCCGGGAATATTTTTATTTAATAGGGCGACTGTGGTTTCATTAGTATTGTTTTGGTTGGCTGCGCCACTGCAAAAGTGATGGCCGCCCTGGGGGACTCCGCCTCCATATGCTTATTTTTTAAATTGTTATTTCATATTATATAGCTTGTATATTTTTTTTATAAAATTTCTGCATAAAAGCTTCGAACTGCTAATTATTTTGACATACGTAATCAAAGTTGGAAATTTTAGAAGTGGCATCAATAAAACCGACCAATCTAAGCCGATTTCTTTAGATTTTCATTATCGGTCTGAATTCTTTGAATTAGATACTGTACCCGGATAGAGTTTTCATAAGAAATACATAATAATTTACCCAGGTAACTGTATATTTTAATAATACCCAGGTATCGATTTTTCTCTCTACTTGAATTCAAATTTTTCGTGTCTAAACCTTATAGTTTTTGTAGCACAACCCAGTAACACCATCCCCAAAAATTAAAACCACACACTCTAATTATAGAATCGTAGAAATTCCATAGGAACAATCTTAGTGTTATGTTAGGTCTTTTTTTATGAATGTACACACGTACAGTACGTACGTTCCATTGAATCCTTTTCTGGTTCTTACCATTGTATTATTGAATTCTTCTGTCCAGAGCTTATATGCCATCATTTTCTAATGCTTAAATGCCTTCCAGTCTAACGTTTTTGATTATTGTTAGTTTTGTCCATTGGATTTTTTCTAGTGCATGTCTTTGAATTATTTCTACGTACAGTAGTAAAAGATTCTCCACGCTATGCAAGGAATTCTGCGTACTTTATGCAGTCTTTGTGCAGCATCTTTTTGTTTATGAGATAAATTAGGAACTCAATTAACATTGTGTACAGCGAATTAATTAAAAATATATATATTGTAATACTACCCCTGATTTACATTGATGTTAAAATTAACATACGTATACTTACGTACGTATGTGTATGTACCGAATTACTGGGAGAAATTTGATCATTAACATAAAACGTTGCAAATTTTTATATTTGTTCATTTTAACTTAATTTAGTTTCTTTCAACGTTAGCATTAGATCATATCTTTTCGAGTAGACTTTAAAAATTTAGAGACATCCCACATTCATTTAAAATTCTTAGAAAGCATTATGGCTTCCCCAAACAAACGAGAAAGTGGTTTTTTTGATAACTCATCATTATCGAATAATAAATCACTATTAACGAAATGTAAAGATCTCTCGATTGCAGAAAAGTCACTCACGTTTGCCATACATGAGTTTGAAATTTCAAAACATCATAGAGATTTATGTGCTAAAGGATTGGAAGCTGCTAAACGTGGCCAAGATACGTTGGAAGGAATTACTAAATTAATGTTATCTAACAAACCGTCTTCTAATGAGTCTTCAAATGAAAAGGATGAAGAAACAATGGTTAATCATAGATTTCAAGAATTCATCGAAGAATCTGAAATTTTTCAAAAATTTTATAATAGTTTTTGGGAGGCCGGTCTTTTTATCGGTCACAATGATTGTACCGAAATTGAAGTATGTAAATACTAATTTAAATTTGTTATATATATATTTTTACGAATGTTATTTTTCATTTATAATTTCTAATGATAAATAGGCTCGTGAAAAAATTTGTCGTCTAATAAACGAATTGGACCAAACGAATGAGGAATTGCGAAATGCAATTGAAGAATGGAAAGCCAAACAGAATTATTGGTACCTAATTAAACATAAAGTCATGGCTTTTGCTAAATTCCTTGTTATTCCTAATAGACGATTGGAACAATATGACTGTGAAATTGTTGAAGAAAAGCTTTCGAAGAGTGAGATAGTTAGAGGAAGTAAAGGTCATATAGTTCAACGAATTTATTTAGGATGTATCAAAGTTGCTGAAACGACTATTTGTCAGTATGATGATGGACTTTTATGTGAATTAAAGAAAGAAATTAAATTTGTACAAGATCTTTGTAAATGTACAAATATTCTTGAATTGTAAGTTTGAATTTATTATGAGATGAATTTATCATTCGGAGCGTGGATGAGGACTTTAAATGCTACTGTATTCTCTGGCACGTGACCCGCAATGATTGGCTATTATTAATACATATAACAATCTTATTTTCAAATATAAATTTATGATTATTAATAATTAACAAGCTTTTTTTTCTGTCTTAAGCTATGGGTATTGCTGTCGATCCACTGGCCTCACCGTAATTTCAGGTTGGGGAGATTATAACTTGCAAACCTATCTTGCTGAACATCCAGACCTTAGTTTAACACATAAGTTGTCCATTGCACGTGGAATTGCTAATGCATTGGATTTTTGCCATGAACAGAATATTTTACATTATGATGTTAGAACGTTAGTGTCATGTAATATTTGTAATGCAATATTGACGTTTTTTCCGATATGTTAATTAAATTCCTTTAAATATACAATTAGTGCCAATGTGTTACTCGATAAATATTTATATCCTAAGCTACATAATTTCCGAATTGCTAAAGAATCTCCAGTGATGTTGAGATCATCATCAATATCACCTGAAACTTTAAGGTAATTTACTAAAAACTTGATGTTATTCAAACGTATGTATATATTTTTAATGACTTATTTTATTTTAGGTGGAGTTCACCAGAGAGAATCCGTGGTGAAGAATACGATGAAGCTAGTGAAGTATACAGGTAAAATTTTAATGAAATGTAAAAATTTAATTCAAAATTTATGTAAATAATAATAATTGTACCTATATTAAAAAGTTTCGCGCTGGTCATGTGGGAGATTGAATATCGGAAATTGCCTTTTGATATCTTAACTTCGGAAGAAGAAATAACAAATAAAATACTTGACGGATACCGCCCGGAACTTACATCAGTAAATGGTATATTGGCAAAATATCAAGAAATTATCGAAAAATCTTGGTCACAAGATCCTTCTCTGCGCCCTGATATGAGAACAATCCACGAAAGCCTGAATAAACTAAACATGGCATATTTTACTGAGCAAGATGCAGATGATGATGACTATATTGATTGTATTGTAGATACAGGACCATCAAATGATGAAATATTAAAATATTTGAAAATTGGAAATCATAGCCTATTTAGTCAATATTCACCTAGATCTGACAAAATAAAACAAGGTATTAAACATCACCAAAAGAAAAAATATAAACATGCATGGGAGACATTTCAAGAATGTCACCAACTCAATTCTGATGACCCACATGCAAATTTTTGGGTGGGATTTTATCATCTTAAAGGACATTATGTTAAAAAAAATGATCAAAAAAGCATGAAATACCTCAAAAGAGCATCAGAATTACAACATCCGGATGCACAATATTGGTACGCATATAATTTGTTAAATGGTCCGGTTGTATTTAATGGAAATAGGTATATGATCGCACTAAAGTTTTTAAGAGAATCAGCAATGCACTGTCATCATTCTGCATTGAGAACATTGGGAAGAATTGTACAGATTGGGAATTATCATCAAAAAGGAGACTTTCTTATAGGAAAAACAATGATGGATGTAGCTCTTAAGATAAAAGTAGAAAATAGAAAATTAATAACAAAAGAATAAAAGTGCTTCTGTCTTGGTTTTGACATAATAGACACAATATTATCAAGTTCATGCTTCCTAAAAATTTGAATAGAATTTCAGAAATAAGACTAGAACATACACGAGGCACAAAAAGAAAAAAAGTTAAATATTTGAAATATTTGATTTTTTAATATTACCTAATAATTTGTGCCTTCTAACCAAAGACTATTCAAACATTTATATATCGATATGATGCGTTTGAATTTAATTTAATATTTAGATTAGAGTGAGAACTAAGTTAGTATTAGTATAGGTATTAACGAAATTATAATCATGTATTTATTTATTATACATTATATCATATCTAATAATTATATCATATAAATATATATTTTTTATCTAACTTAGTATTCTTATTAATATAATTATAATACTTCAATTTTGAAGAATTTAATAATGCGTTCTCACCATAAATGGGTTGAGTAACTTTTTACAGCATATTCTAAAAACATCTTTAAATATATATTTTGAATGAGTTAAATCGACAATGTGAGTAATCTATTAATTAATCCATATGTACTAATTTCTAATGACCAAAAAAAAAGTCGCAAATGATCTTTTAAATGAGAGTTGTTCTTCCCAAAATGACCTTTATTTATAATAAATATTTCTCGTAATTTACACTACAAAAAATTATTTATTCTACCTATAATGCTTAAAATATTTTTATTGACTGAATTGTTTTTATTGCTAGAACCTTTAAAAGCTCTAAAATGTTCTTATTCTCCTTACGATCTTTGGGTTTGGTCTTTGATTATACAGTCTACCCTCGTTTATATCAACCTATTTTGAATTGGTTTAAATTCATGTTGATAGTGATATTAACAAGGGATTATATTAAAGTTGATATATATGAGGGAATTTTAGTATATAAAAATTTGTAAAAATTTATTCTATAGCTTAGGTTGATATTAACGATGGTAGACTGTAATTAAAAAAATGGCCCACTTTAAATATTGTATCACTTCTCTTTGATCTAAATCTATATAAGGTAAAGGGGGTAATTCGGTAGAGGGGGGTAAAGTGCCAACGCATGGGGGGTGCTCTGGTTTTCGTCTTGCAAGTTTTAAAAAGCTTACGTGTAGAAAACAAAGTTGCTTACAATGTGTAGGCCACACAGAGGTATATATCTCTGATGACACGAGCTCGTGATTTTTTATTGGATTATTTTATCGATAACTAATAAAATAATATTTTTTATGCACCAGTTCGACATTGCCTTTGAAGGTATTTGTAGCCTTCGTAATATCGAAGCGGAAAAAGAGATTGAGCAAATCAAGTAAAATCTTAGAGAATTGAAAGGAAAACTTAAAGTATATACAATCAATATCAATATATCTAATGAAATTATCTTTCTAAAATAAATATATTTTTGTATTTATAAACTATTTTTAGAGAAAATCCTCTTCATTTGCTAGAGAAATCTATAAACATTTGGATACTATAAAGCCTGATGATCTAAAATGGCAAAATCCGTTGGCCAGCCAAGTGATTACTGATGAATTTGTGCAAAAATTATCTAGCGAGTCCGGAGATGAAAATGTATACAAAGAGCCGTTAAATCGTATGCGGATAGATGCACCATCCAATATCAGGGAGATATGTAATGTATTTATTGAAGATTTTAACAATGATGAGATTGAGACATTTCCACCAAAATATCTTCATAACCATACTTGGAGAGAATCAAGTGAAGAATAATTAGCGAATGTCACTAGTGAGATTTTAGAATCTCTAAGTGATATCTGGAGAAACCCTGCATTTGAAGCCAATATTGCAAAAACAAAAAGCGAAGGAACTTACGTGACAGATGTGATCGTTCCTTTACTTCGAACATCATTGAAAAAGTTTCCAATCAGAAATACCGCCTTTCTTATTTTCTTAGTATGTATATACTACTATAATACTTTTCTAGTCTTATAAATTATTTTTTAATTTAGTGCAGAACGTCAAAGCCAAGCTAGTATGGATAGAAAAAGCGGGGGAAACAAGGGTAAACGACCCGATATAATGCTCATAGAAAAATATAAAGATAAGTCATATGAACTTATATTTGCAGAGTTCTCCCGATTAATATGCCCTAAACGAAAAGACGAAGATGATAAAATAAAAATATGGCGGGAGATGAATGATGGGCTTTTATAGTGGGTGCAGCAGGCCCGATAAAAACCAATTTGGGATTATCGGAGTGCAAATAGCTGGGGATACGTTGCATCTTAAGATTATTATTAAAGACATGGATGATATCCACCGTCTTTATAATTTATATTCGGTTAAAATTCCCGTACGACCAACTGATGATGAAGGCGTATTCCGATTTATAGAGGCCCTTTTAAATTTAATAATTACAAACATGTCGTTATTACACCATTCCGCCGAAGGCTAGTTCAAATGTATCCTCCCCTTAAATACCTTTGCATTCCTGTAATTGATACTTTTATTTTTTTCTTATTAATAAGCTAGCTCTTGTGGCTGATTTCGCATAATCATGTTTACTTTTGCATGTGTATTTCGTAAATTATTACTATCGATGTATATTAATATTAACTCACTATGTTCGAGAATTTTTAAAAATTTTTCTTGCCATCAGCATTACAAATTGTAACGCACACATGACTTTTTTATGTGCACTATATCTATTAAACTGACATTCGTAATATGCTTTAAACTATTGTAAAAAAAATTATTATTATTTTATTAAGGTTCTTTGAAAAAAAGCAGCCAATTAGTTTAGTCATATGAATTATTTTTACCTCAGCTAAACAACCTAAAGAATTATTTTGTTCCATTCAAGCTTTTGAGAGCTACCATGGAGGATTCTTCACGTGAAGGTGCTAGCCCTCCATTAAACGAATAGTCTCGTTTACCATCAACCTAAGTTGCAGAATAAACAGAACCAAAACCTCCTGCGCCAATTTTTTGAATATTGATTAATATGTTAAAAGGTATCCACTCAATTACTTTGTGATAATATTTTGAACTCATTTGAGCATTTTTAATAAAGTTATCTATCTCACAATTTCCACTAGTCCAATTAATTTTGCTTATTTGAGGGTCACATGAATGGCAAAAAGAAATTCCAGTATTGTATTTCTTGCAATTTACACAAGTTCCAAACCTCGATGTCGTTACTTCACCACTATCCAGTGCCTCTGGACTATTTAATTTGATTTTTAAAGATTTATTCAAATCTTCAATTGAATCTTCATACTTGCCCATATGTGCATAAGTAAAGGCACGGTTATTTAACGCAGCAGTATTATTTGGCTCTATTCTTAATATTTATTTGATTCGATAAGAGCTTCATCAAATCTATCCATATCTTGGTATGTTTGTAAACGATTGTTCAGTGCATGAATATCATTTGGATCAATTTTTCAAGTGATTCATCATATTTACCCATATCTCTATATGCTGATCCACGATAATATAAAGCTGCACTATTATTTGGTCTAATTTCTAATGACTTATTTAAATCTACGAGTGATTCTTCATGGTTGAACATCATTTGATAAGTTATCCCACGGGCTTGTCAATGTTACAGGGTCATTTGGCTTAATTTCCAATGATTTATTTAAATCAGCAAGAGACTCTCTATTACAATAAATTGATCCAAGGTTATAGCATTATTTGGATCAATTTCTAATGACTTATTTAAATCAGCAAGAGCTTAATTGTATCTGCCCATTTCTTGATGAACGAGCCCACGATTGCCTAATATTTTTAAATCAGTGAGTGAATTTTCATTTCTACCCATTAACTGATATACTTCTCCACGAGCATTTAATGTATCAATATTATTTAAATCTAATTCTAATGAACTATTTAAATCTGCAAGTGAATCTTCAAATCTGCTCAAGAAACGATAAGTTAATCCATGATTACACAATATAGCAGAATTATTTGGATCGATTTCTAGTGAATTATTTAAAATTGCAAGTGATTTTTTATATTGACCCATTAATCGATAAGTTACTCCAAGATTATTTAATACTGTAGCATTATCTGGCTTAATTTTTAATGATTTATTAAAATCAGCAAGAGAAGCTTCATAATTACCCATGTCACGATAAGTTATACCACGACTATTCAATGCTAAAACATTATCTGGACATAATTTTAATGATTCGTTTAAATCAGTAAGAGATTCATTAAATTTACCCATATAATAATATGTTAATCCACAATTATATAATATTCTAGCATTTGGAATTGGGTTTAATATTTTATTAAAGTCTTCAAGTGATTCATCATATCTTCTCATAGATTGATAAATTAATCCACGATTATTCAATGTTATACTATTATTGGGCACAATTCTAACGACTTATTGAAATCCGCAAGAGACTCTTCATTCATATCTTGATATATTGTACCTCTATTATTTAATATTGTAACGTTGTTTGGTTTGATTTCTAATAATTTATTTAAGTCCTCAAGAGAGTTTTCATATCTTCCCATTCTATAATATATAAGTCTACGTTTATTTAAAGCTGCGAAATTATCTGAATTGATTTCTAATAATTTATTTAAATTTGAAAGCGATTCTTCTTTTCTATGAAATCTTGCAAGCTTTCTTTTCTATAAAATCTAATTTTTCTTAATATATATATATATTAATACCAAGTCATAAGTATTATTCGCTGTCGAGACCATGTAGTCGATTGGAGAATTAAAGAAGACGTAACATTATATTTATGGAAAAACCTTATGACATTTAAATAATTTAAACTAATTTTATCGTTAAAAATCGCAAAGTCTAATACTTTCTTTTCCTTTTTATGGGAGCCATTGCGTACTGTGATAGTTTTTCTTTTTCTATAGCTTTACTTGTAAATTGTAGTTTTTTTTTCAACAGCCTAATTAGGTTTTATCTGTTATAGCATGAATGAATTCTATTATCAATATACTTTTGATCAGTTTGGATTTAAATTGGCTAATATTTTTGACCTTCTATACACATAAAGGTTGACTTCATATAATTTAACACTTGAATGTTATTATTCATGTTAAAGTTGTAACGACAACTTTTATAATGATTTATACAAAATACTAAATTTAGTACAGTTGTAAACCAAAATTTGATAAAGGAGTAATTTAACTCTCACTAGAGGTGCTATATACTAAATAAATGGGATTGGGTATTCTAAGTAAAAATGTTCAAGACCCTTAAAAAACTAAAATCAAGACCTTATATCAAATCCGCATTATGTTATATAAAGCTCCTCCTTTATCTTAAAACTGCACCCTAACCTAAAGATTCTTAGGCCAGTGAATTTCACCACTGGTAAATATTAAAATACTTAAATCCTTACAATAAAAATTATACAAAAAAATAATTTCGATATCATATTTTATTCTTCAATTTAACATTAGCAATGCGAACAAGTCACTTGTTCTTGCTTTGATGTATTATGAATTCAGAATATCGGGTTAAGTGAAATAATCACGATCAATAATAAATATTAGCAAACATTGAATCTTCAAAAATAGGTAGACCATGGGGCAGTATTTCCAAAAATAATATCCCATGATTTAGATTCGGGTATTACTCACCAATCCTTATCGAATAAGATACTACGTATATTGATTTACTAATTTTGGTATAATATTGTATATGGGGTCTTTGCCTTGAAAATCGAGTTACGGGACATAGTAAATCATATGTCCCATACTTGATTTTCAAGGCAAAGACCCCATATGGCTTTTCACATAGTACTGATTCTAAATCAACTTTATAATTTAGTGCGAAAAAACTCATTTATTAATTTCTTGTATCGAAATTAGTGAAATTAAAATAAAATCAAATTATAGATAGATGATTATCAGTTATCGTGTTATTTTTTTTAGTTTAAAACTATTGCAATTTTGTAATCCCTAAGATCAATTTTTTTATGATTAAATGATTGTGATTAGCTAAAGCCGGCCAATTTATTTATCATAAATCTGAGCTTGACACAAACTCAGATTCATGATAAATTGGCTGGCTTTAGCAATTGCAATCGCAATCACAATCATTTAATAATCATAAAAAATCAATCATAGTGCAAACTGCAATAAACTACTATCAGATTTTTGATAATATTCGAACGCTTTGTGTTCATTCTTTTTAACCCCGATTTCTTCTTTAAATTAATGACCTATCATAATTATTCTATCATCATCCATGACTGAAATATAACATAACTTGCTTTACTGTTACCAATTTAATCATGGATATAGTAACTACGTTGTAGTTCTGCAGCTTGAAGCAAAGCGTGCTTTCGAAAATATAGGATAATTTGGAATTTTAGGACATCCAAAAACAAATCTTTGTATTTTACGTAGAATAATCCGAAAACCAAGTTTACTAAATAAGTATGTTTAAAATATAAACTTATAGTTGTAAAAATTGGGATCTTTGCCTTGAAAATGACCTTACGGTATCATGTACCGTAAGGTCATTTTCAAAGGCAAAGACCCCAATTGTAAAATTTTAATAATAATAAAATTAGAATTATAATACTTTTTTTTAATCTAATATTGTAAGCTTATTATATATCAAGACTTATTCTTATCTAACTTATGACAAAATTACATATGCTACGATTAAAGTCGAAATTATTATTCTTTGCAATTACACACATTATTACTGCGTTTTATTAATTTTTATCTAACTACAGTATTTAAAAATCTACAATTCATATAACTATACTAATTTTTGAAGTTCTTGTGTAACGGTTACAATTCAAGCTTCAAAAATTAGTATAGTTATATGAATTGTAGATTTTCAAATACTGTAGTTAGATATAAAGTTACAGAAGACTTACACTTTTAATAAAACGCAGTAATAATATGTATAATCGAAAAAATAATAATTGAATCGTAACTTATGCAATTTAGATAAAATAAGAGTAGTCCTGCGTCGTGATACAGTATATAATAAGCTTGTAACAATTATATTAAAAAAAGTACGTATAATATTCCAGATAAAATAAAAATATAGTATCGGTATGATAATTCTAATTTAAAACATACTTGTTTAGTAAAGTTGGTTTTTCGGATTATCCTAAAATAAAAAGATTTGTTTTTTGGACTAAAATTCCTAAATTGTCAGATCTACAACGTAGTTTACTATATCTATGATTAAATTGATATATAACAGTAAAGCAAGTTATGTTATATTTCAGTCATGGGTGATGATGGAATAATTATGATTGGTCATTAATATAAAGAAATCGGTGGGTTTGAAAAACCAGGAATTGTATTTAGAGGATATATTAAATTAGTAAATCAAGTAAATATTCAAGAAACAGTTGATTTTTGGAAATACTGTAAGCAATGGCCAACGATAAGCGAAAAATCATCCATCTCCATTGATCTCTAATTCGTCATTTCCCATGGTCTACCCATTTTCACAGATTCAATGTTTGCTGCAATATCGATATTGAATAACTTCTCAGATAATTAATTTATTTCAGACTCTAAATCGAGATCATTTACATAATTGTTGTGAAAAAATAGTTATTGATCGCTTATGACAGTGATTATTTCACTTAACCCGACTTGAAATGAAATGATTGATCAAAGCAAGAACAAGTGACTTGTTCGCATTGCTAATTGACTGTTAAAAATTTTCAAAATGAAGAAATAAAATATGATATCGAAATTATTTTTTGTATAATTTTTATTTAAGGATTTAATTTTATTCGCTTTAATTGCGATTTGTATCCCTATGATTAATTTTTTTTATAATTAAATGATTGTGGTTGGGATCGCAGCCGGCCAATATCATAATTCTGAGCTTGACACAAACTTAGATTCATGATAAATTGACTAGCTTTAGCATCACAATCATTTAATCATAAATAAAAATTAATCATAGGGGGTCACAAAATTTGTATATAGTTAAGTAAAAAAATTTGGGGTGATTGTCAATCATTGCTGTGCCGATTAGGGATGTTAAATTGCGAATCCGATAGGATCTAAAAAGACGGTCCTGGATTCGGCCCTTACAGCTGTTCTCATAAATTCTGAGACAAACTAAAAATTGACTCGTTTCCCGAAATCTCTTCGGTTTCGTCCTATGAATCATCTAACTCTCCGGAAAATACATGCTATAAGTTCCGAAGACAATGACATGTTTCCGAAGAGTTAGATGGCCTTTAGGACGAAACCGAAGAGATTTCGGGAAACGACAAATTTTTAGTCTGTCCCAAAATTCATGATAACAGCTGTAAACTACATGAAAACATAATAGATTTAGATCCTGTATCAGATCTTGAATTGAATACATCAAATAAGTCCATCCAATCAAATTAATTTTGTATTATTATAATAACTCAATTCAGGATCTAAATCTTATAAAAAAATGTATTGTGTTTTAACATCCCTAGTGCCGATAAGGATATAAGTCACGTGTTTGCTGTACCGATATAATTCTCTATTTTGGGATACATAACTTTATCTTTTGTCCGAAAATCCATCCTGTATAAATATTTAAGATTTTTGTTACAGCACAAACAAAAATTATATATAAATAAAAAGCTAATAAAGCAAAAATATAAAGAGGTTTTTATACGTATGTAAAAGTTAAAGGTTACTGTTTGATGATTATTAAGTTATAAGAAATACAGTAGTTTTGAATTCAGTCTCAAACCATGATCAGAAAGCCATAATTAGAATTCAGCTAATAAGTTTAAAAAACAAATGGAAAGGAAAGACCTATAAATTGATTCGCTGTTCACTTTATCGGACTCGACCTCTAAAATTGATTCCACAGTGATTACATGTGATAAAATACATATGGGCTGCCATTAATAGAAAACAAATGGATTAACATTTTGAAAAAAATTAATACCTTTAATTTTCACAACCTATATCTCGATGAATTTTGAAGATATTTTGATAATTTTACAGTTAAAAGAAGCCTAAAACCTAAACTTTCGTTTGATTATTGAAACATTAATATAGGTTTAAAATTTAGCGAGATATGAACTATGAAAGTTAAGGTATTAATGTTTTTCAAAATGTCAATCTGCTTGTTTTCTATTGGCGATATCCCATACATTGGCTGATCATTCTAGTTGTTTCTGTAACACTAATACTTGGTACGCATCACACGGCACACGGATTTATTATAGATTAATTATGTAGAATTAAATTCTTCAGAGTCCGAGTCCAATAAGATGAAAAGTAGTGAATCAATTTTTACAGGTGTTCCCTTTGCGTCATTCATTTTTAATTTAATGTATTAATCTAATTTGAACAAGAAAAAAGCTTAATAAATTCTGAATAGAAAATTTCTTAACGAGTACAATCAGCTAATAATATTTGGGTTTGATCGATCAGATCGCTAGATGTGCATGGAATATGAATATATCTAGATGTTATCCTGATTTTAACTTTTTGACCAGATTAGCCGGACTTAGATCATATGGAATTACGACAAATAAAAAACGTAAGGTGTCTAATTTTAATTAGCTAACTCTAAATAATCTTAACGAAGATTATATCATATTAAATTTCTTGCTACAGTATATTATTCACTTTTTAACCAATTTATATTTACAGATTTGTTAAAGTTATTGAAATAATCATAGGTTATTAGAGTTTGCCATTTAAATCATTGGTAAGAGCACTCTTAATATCGATGAAATATAAATGTAGAATTTACTGTAAAACTATAGATTTTGCTACGTATAACGAACAAAATTCAGAACAGTATAGTGTATATATATAACTTTTAGACAATTAATGCAATTAGACAATTAGACCACTCATTATATTTGAATAAAATTCTTTTAATAATTGAATTGTACGTATGCATGTACGTGCATATATAAATGGGTTTGTACAGCAATTTAAGAAGCTTAGCCGATTCTCTGTGTAATTCTGTGTAATCTAATTATTAATTATTACTATAGTAAATGTAATATCGTGCGCACGTGTTACATAGGTTGATTAGTTAAACATCTATGGAAAACAATAATCTACGTAGTCGTTACATAAGTGCAAGGAACCAATAATACATCTATTATATTTCCATTTTTAAAACTATTAAGAATATAAGATCGTCATACTTAACACTATTAAGATCATCATACATTTCATTCTTTTTTATTTTTTTCAAGAAAAGCTCCCGTGTTTCAAAATTTTAAGGCCCAAATCCTTATACCTTATTTGCTCATATATATATATATATATGAATTCGAAATTAATTTCTTACCATATTTTTTTTCACTAACGTTAAGCGAATCACATAAAGCATTCGGTTAGAAAAATAATAATAATAATAATAAACAAAAAAATAAACAAATTGTGCCGTAGTCACACATTAGTTCTTCTTAATAATAATTATACGTAGTGAGAACAAGTTACGTATAACATAATAAACATTACACAATATATGAAACAATAACAATATCCTTCAGGATCCTTCTTTTTTTTACTCCTTAGCCTTTCTACCTACTGGTTTTCTTTTTAACGTGCCTACTTTTACACTCCTTATTAGATAAACGAAAAAATTAACTTTTAAGATAATACCCAAGCGGTATATTTAGTTTTCTTTAGTTAGATGGTTAGATACCATCTTCTTTTTAAATTTAATAGACGTCAGCAAATAGAACTTGGCTTTAATGAGTGATTATATATTTCTTGGTAATATATTTTTTTTCAATTATGAAACTATCGTATATGTTTAAATGGTGTGGTTCTTTATATGCTGCTGTGAAAGCATTAAAATAAATTATGTGCATTTATAAAAGAACTTTCATGATTTGTAAAGGAGAAATTAATACGAATAATAACTTTGGCCTATACTAATGAACTCTTAATCGAATTTCAGAACGATCGGTACATGATCTATATATATGGATATGGTTTATTCTTCATGTCTGGAGAGTAAGTTTATAAAGTCTTTCCGGTAAAAAATAAATTATTATGACGAAACTTAACAGAGCTAATGATTAATTAAATTTCGAATAGTGTGATCGATTTGCAGCATTGAAATGGCACCGAATACGTTCGTTAGAATTAAAATCATACGTTACAATCTTCATATTGTTGACACTACCGCTTGGATCATTTTATGACATTGTCTTGGTAAAATATCTTATATTTTTGTAAACTCTTTGATTCTATTCTATTTTCTAATCTAAAAAATGAAATTTTTATTTGATAGACAAAAATAATATATACCAATGGATTATACTTTTTTCCTAATCTCTTTCCAAATTTAATAGTTCAAGAATTTCCTAATTTTTTGCCTGATGAAAATAATCAGTGGATTTCTCCACTTTCTTATACATTGATGGTTGAATTTAGTTTTCAAATGTAAGTTTTTTTTTTTTCACTTTCTAAATGTGTTTTATTATAATCATTGAAATATGTTGAATTTATTATTATTTTATTATTATTTTATTAGTGCAATATTATTCTTATTGCAATGTTTCTGGAATTATCTTTCTAATTCCATCGCAAAATTGTCATTCATGTCAAGATTTGAATTTAAACTATATATTTTCTTTGGAGTTATGTCTATGATCATGTTTCCAGTAATACAAATTGTATGCGGTAAAATTGTCGCATTAAGAGAGGTACTATTTAAAAGATATATTTTAACATATATATTTTTCAAGAAAAAAAACTTTTTTTTAACACCTTTATTTACAGGCTGTCCCACAATTAATTTATGGTGCACTGTTAATATTACTTACTGTGTTGGGTATCCAAACTCATTATCGATTCGTAAACTTAATCAGAAGATCTTATAATAATAAAAATGCTCCTCATATAATAACAAAAATACGTTATTTTATTGATATGAATAAAGTGTTAACTCTCACTTTATTTATTATGGGTGCAAGTTTTCTTTTATTGGGTAGTGACGTTCTTATTAATTCAAGACCAATCGCTAAAAGCAAAGTAGCAAGGTATGTTAATTTTTGTTTAAAAATTTTAAAAATATGTTACATGCATATTATGCATATCTACTTACATACACTCATACATATAATATACAACTTATATTTTATCTATGTTTTATGTATATTTAGTGACATATTGGTTGCTCACATGAATTTTGCCGCAATAATCGAATGGCTTGTTCTCATTTTGATCTTCTATCCTCGAAAAGGATTTGTAGGAACAGGCGCCGGTGGAAATTCTTTACATAGTACAATTCATGATTCTACTTCTCAACATACAAAACAATATTCTTCTAATAGTATTAGAGATTCTTATGTTCATCTAAATTCTTATAATGATAATAATGATCGGTATATTGAATCGGATAAATATCCTTCAACATATCCTTCAACAAATGATTTTTCTTTAAATGAAAGTACTATTTCTGCTTCTCAAATGTTACCGGCTGTTCCAACTCCTGCTGTCTCTCCACCTAATTCAATATCTTCTAATTCTGCTCCATCAGTTGCTCTGAAAACTCAATTAAAACGTAATATCTCTTTATCAAGAGATGGAAGAATGGTATATGGTGATACTAAACCATTGGGAAAAGTAGGTGGTTCGGAATTTGTAGCTGTGGAAAAAGCTGATCCTAGTGATATGCCTTTTTATTTGGGAAAATCTTCAATTGATGCAAATTCTCAACAATATCCAAATTCAAATGAACCGAATTCAAGAAAATCGACTCAAGAAGAACGTATGCTAGTATTACAACGAATGAAATCACAAAATAGCTTGATACTCAATGATAAGGATGGAAGTGTGTCAAGCTCTGATATGAGGTCACAACAAAGCTTGTTGATCAATGATGGAGATAGAAGTATATCAAGCTCTATTATGAAATCACAAAAAAGCGTATTGTTCGATAATGAGGATAAAAATGCTTCAAATTCTGTCAACATCTTCAATGAAGATCAACAGGTTCCCTCAGCATTGTCTCATATAACTGAGACCGCTTCAGAGCTGTCTTATACGGAAAGAAGTTCTGAGGCAATTAGCTATGAAGAAAGTGATGACGGCTATTTTTATGCCATGTGAAATGAAAAAAAAAAAAAAAAAATTGCATTTGACAAAAAAAAAAAATTAAGAAATTAAAAATTTTTCAAACAAACAATCTGATCATAATTAATATTTTATATCCTTCAAAAGTTTATTACTAATATGTTTATTATTATTCCTTTGTAATTATAATTTGAGACTTTGTTATTTTTGGTTGTTTTTAATGTTCATGTTTTTTTTTCAAATAAAAAAGACAAATACACATTAAGGCTGTGCCTATAGGCACTTAGTGCCACGGTTGACCCCTGGCATCCATCATCACTGCACAATTCCCTGCAATAAACTTGAAACCCCACCTAATAATATATAAATTGAAATTTTTTTCAAATTCCATATGCAGAATGCGCCATGCGCAGATCCACATACCAGCCCATATCATACTACATTATATTAATGTCTCATCAGTACTTATTGTCCAGAGGACCTAATAGAGGAGAATAATTTTTTACAGGATAATCCAAAATTCCGGGTCGGAATGCATCGGAGCTAGGCCGGAATTAAGCATACTAGCGCTAGCCAACCAAATCTATAGCAAAATTATCAACTGGGCATTTTTATTTAATGAATAGGTTATTATTTCAATTCTGGCTTAGTCGACAGGATTCTGATGCATTCTGACCCGGACTTCTTGGGGGTATAAGCACCTATTTTTAAATACTTTGTCTGTTTCTATGCTTAGTTCCGGATGTTTAGCATAAATACCTGGCGTATGATTTCATGCGATTGCCACTTAGTTATTTCATGTTTTAACCTACCTTTACATTTCTTATTTTTTGAAACATTGCTGTTCATAAACTGATTCTTACACGTATACATTTATAAATCTTGAATAGGTCGATATTTGGACAAGTTTCAGACCATTATATTTAATTCATATGCACAGTACATTACGTAATAAACAATTATAACACCAATCAGATTTTAATAATGAATTTCAATAAATGAAAAACAATGAAACTCCATAGATTTTAATAAATCCTAGGTCATTCTTTCAATCGGTGAAAATACTGTACATTACATAATCAACAACCAAAAGTTTTTTTTTTTCTTTTGTACCGTATAATTTCTTATTATTTTAATAGTACTGTTACGGGATGAATCATATGATCGATAATTTATAAAAATTATGATTATGTGATAATTTCTTAATTTTTTACAGGAGGATCCCTAAATTTCCGGGTCGGAATGCATCGTGGTTGGGGTCGGGTTAGGGTTAGGGTTAGCTATTCTGGTTAGGGCATGGGCAGAAATCAGGTGATTTCAATTTATATACCCTAGGTTGGCCAGTGGACCAAAATGTGGCTTAGCAAATGCCAATGGACAATATCCATTGACAATTTATTCAGAACCCATCATAGTCCATTGCCAACCCTGGCTATACCCCCTCATCTGATTAATCAATCAAATTTATTATGACCTGATCAAACAAGAAACCCCCCTCACCCCCTCTAAAATCAGCTGATTTCTGCCTGTTCTCTTAGTAGGAGCAATAGTAAAATTATCAGCTGGGCATATTTTGCTTAATGAACGGTTTAGTGCTCGGCAAACTCGATTATCGAGTTTTTAAATCTATCGATTTATAGTATTGTGTTTCAATTATAAAAATCTATTTTTACTCTAATCTGACTTTAAACTTCATGAAGCCTAAAGTAAGATCGTATTCCTGTTAGATTTATATATACCAATAATAAAATTTGTATTTAATTCCCAATATTGTAAATTGATAGATTCAAAAACTCGATAATCGAGTTTTTGTTTGATTTTGCCAAGCACTAGAACGGCTATTGTTTCATTAGTAAAATTCTTTGTGATCTTGTGCAAAATCGATCAATTCTGGCCCATCCGACCAGGTTCCGATGCACCCAACCCGGAATTTTGGGATCTCCATGAAGAAAATTCCGGGCTGCAGATCATTTCCGATCAAAATCCTTTTTAAAATTTTAAACTTCTAGCGAAGATTACTCAATAACTGTTCGATCAAATTTTGTAAAATTTTTTTATTTTGATTCTACATATTTGTAAAATTCAAATAAAAAAAGGTTTATTGAATTTGGTTTGGTGGTATCGAGAAACCATCGCCAAAAGTTTTAAAAAAACTTGAACATGAAAAAAACATCTAAAATCAGCAAATATTTTCTTTTTGAATGTTTAAACGGTGATTTCTCTATCCAAATTCAATTTATTATTTTTTATTTTGATTCTGCGGATTTGTAGAATTAAAATAAAAAAATTTTATCAAATTTAAATAATTGGATATTGAGAAATATTAATTAAAAGTTAAAAAAAAATTGGCTATCTAAACTTTGAACGAAGATTACTCAGCACTTACCTAACTAAATTGGACTAGTTTTTTATTTAGATTCTATAATACCATAGAATTAATATAAAGAAAATTGATTGAATTGCTTAGGTAAGTCCCGAGTAATCTTTATAAAAATAAAGCTGTGGCCAAATTTTTTATTTTAACTTTTAATCGATATTTTTTAACATCCACCTCATTAAAATTTTTTATTTTAATTCTACGAATCCGCAGAATTAGAAAAAATTTCATCGAATTTGGATTGTTGATTGTTGAGCAATCATCAATTAAAGTTTAAATAAAATTTTATTGCAACATTCTTTTTTAAAAATTTTTTTACAAACCTTTAAACAATGATTGTTCAATAATCATTTATCTAATTTATTGAAATTGTTTTATTTTAATTCTACGAATTTGTGGAATTAAAAATAAAAAAAAATTATCCCTTAAGCTGTAGAGTTTGTGTAACAATTTTAGCTTAAAAATAGCATAAATTTAGTTATGATTTATTTTTT